ACCTCCCTCTTGGCTCTGTCAGCCGTCCATAGCTCAGTTAGTGGGCTGATCGATCAGTGGAGCTGCTGAATTCCCCTGAAAGTCAATTACTAACTTACACGGTGGAGCTATTTTAGGAAAGAGGGGAGACTGTAGGAATCATTAACTAGATAATGTCATGACAACCTTCGCAGCCAGTCAGGGCAGAGCGGCTACTGCCTGTGGATACGCAATTTGTCTGGGTCATCAGAGAATGGCCCAAAACAAGGGAGGATGTTTCAACAGATTTTTTAACAGTTGCTCCTACTTAAAGTGAAAGCTATCTTTGTAATTCTAGTCAGTATTCTATGTGGGCAACATTCTTCTGTGGCTTGTTTGTGGTAAGACAAGTGTCAACGCTGGTGCATTTGACACACTTTTTATTCTCAAGGTTATGTTTACAATTTGTCTCAGTATTACTTAACAAAAGCCAGACATTTACAAATAAAGTTAACACACTGGCCCATTGTAAAATAACTAAAAATGCAATTTAGAAAACTCCCTGTCTATTAGTTTTAAATATTCTAAAACGTTGAAAAAATAAATTCCTTAAAAGTTATAAGCATGGATTATAAAATCATTGTTTTATATGCCTTCCATCTAATTATACAACCTGGCTGCCATATGCTTTTTTAGATGCTTTTTCCTGTGCTGTACTTTTACCTTGACCAGCTGGTAATAAAATCACTTTGGTGAAACTCTACAGTAACTATGAGAGCCAGTTAGCTATCTTTAACAAAGTAAGGATCCAACAACCTGTGCTTCTGTTTGTGTTTCTCCTCTGTCGCACTTGTTGAGCTGCAGAACCCCAACGTCATCTGTTTTAATTATAGGTGCTTGCTATGAGTATATAATGTACTAATATGCATATACATATGTATAAAACAGATGAGGAACAATGTTTTGTCTTTAAATCAAATGTGGAAAAGTCAAATCCATCTGGGAACATAAAAAAACAACTATGTGTGGCCATCATGATCGTCTGCTTATAAGGGAATCTGTTATCTTTAACACTTATTAGGATATCAACCCAGCTGCAATCAACAGATGGCTGCTTTTTAATGGATTGGAAAGAACATCTTCACATTTAAAATGTCCTTAATGATATGGACCGAGAAAAGTGACATGAACAGCAATCAACACATTTTGGAAAACCCACATTACACACCTATTTTTCATCACATTTACGACAGAAAGTTCTTATCTCTTGTATGGTCCTGTTACTGCAATCTGAGTGTGTCGAGTTTGGATGGCATCAGTATTAATTTCATGGTGTCAGAATTCATTTGAATACTAGTCTATCCTTCACAAAGTAGAAGGTAGATGTGCGTGTGTGCTTTTTACCATAGCATTTCTGCCAGACATTAAAAGTGGGGACTAATGCATTAGTAGAACGTTTTAAAGTTTAGACTGACCTCTTATGAAGAGTTGGCCATTGTTGGAAAGTGAATAAACACAGCTGCCCAAAATATTCATTCCGAAACCCGATAAAAAACAGTATTCACCCCAGTCAATATACAACTTGAGTGACCTCTCTAAAAACACAAAGACAGACAAAAGTCATAACAGTCATTAACATTTATATAATTAGTTATTTTACTTTAGAATGAAAAGATCTTGTTGTTTATCGTACAAGTCACTTAATGTTTCAAGATTAATCTTAAAAACACTCCGTCCTTCACAATAGCCAATGTTTTATCTAACTGCAGTTGTTCCCTTTCTGTTAGACTGTTAGACAGACTGAACTTTGAAGACACATTCCTTGCTAGCAAACTTTCAATGCTGTACACCTAAGTTTGTTATAACTAAAATCAATTGATGTTCCATTTGATCAGTCAAGTGCTGCAAAAAGGACAAAGGAATCCTCACATTTCTTTCTTCCATGTTTTCAATTTAATATGAGCTGTGTCTAGTTGAAATGCACAGTACCTCCATGGAAACCCCCCTCCAAGCCATGTTGGATCAATGTGCTTCATCCCTCATCTGTCCACATGGCACTCAAAGCCTGTTCTGCCACCCAAATTACTGCTGTGCTGAATTATAACTTTGTTGGACCTGGCAGTGTACTGTACCCAAGGCATTCTGAAATATCACTGACAGACGGAGCTGTCATCACAGATATATCTATCACCTGGAGAGCTATATGAAACAGACAGCTAATAACCAGCAGTCTTTTTACAACAGCGTTTGTCAAAGTCTCGATCCTGGACATAAAGTTCTCGGCAAACATTTCAAAGTCTACTAGCCGTCTTCTTAATGTCTGTTTGGATGATGAACTTCTTTTCCATGTGGTTGTTGAAATGAAACTGTGCTGTGATAATGGCATGATCACTGCTGTTTAATCATCCACTCCAGATCTAAAAGGCCGAAGTTACATCCAGATGTTTTTTTAATGAAATAATGTGTGACGTAGGTTGGAGAGAATGCAAAAGTCAGGAAACCAAAGCATTTTGTAGCTGCTGGTGGATTAATGTTAACCTCATATTAATATAGTCAATGCAACTCTGCGACTTCATTTGTAATCTTACAGCAGCTCCATGTTGGACAGATGCCATGCTTGGCACTGCTTTGCAACTTATGGAAACTGAAAGAAATAAACAACACCTGCTACTGTATATAAGCAACATCAGACTGTAACAAAATGATGAGTTAACATAGTGGAAAAAAACAGATTGGTTTGAGTAAATATCACACGTATTAACACACATATCAGCAGATAGAGTTAAAAACACAGGCAATGATGTATGCTTCATTAATCTTTAGTTATTCATAACATCTTAAACACCAACAGTGTAATGGTGCCATCACAATGGTATTACAGATGTTATATTTTAATTACAAGCTTATTAAGTCTGACCTGTTAACTGTTGTTAAACCATTATTGTTGGTACATAAATTAGATTGTTGTTCTCTGACGCTCCAGTACATAATGGAAGATGGACTTGGCAAATTGACATGGTTCATATACACTGAACAAAAATATAAACGCAACACTTTTGTTTTTGCTCCCATTTTTCATGAGATGAACTCAAAGATCTAAAACATTTTCTATATACACAAAATAACCATTTTTCTCAAATATTGTTCACAAATCTGAACAAATCTGTGATAGTGAGCACTTCTCCTTTGCCGAGATAATCCATCCCACCTCACAGGTGTGGCATATCAAGATGCTGATTAGACAGCATGATTATTGCACAGGTGTGCCTTAGGCTGGCCACAATAAAAGGCCACTCTGAAACGTGCATTTTTGCTTTATTGGGGGGGTCTGGGGGGGTCCGAAAACCAGTCAGTATCTGGTGTGAGGGTTAGGGTTAGGGTAATGTTGTGAATTGAGTGGCCCATGGTGGTGGTGGTGTTATGGTATGGGCAGGCGTATGTTATGGACGACGAACACAGGCCACTCGATTCACAACATTACCCTAACCCTACCCCTCACACCAGATACTGACTGGTTTTCGGACCCCCCCAGACCCCCCCAATAAAGCAAAAATGCACGTTTCAGAGTGGCCTTTTATTGTGGCCAGCCTAAGGCACACCTGTGCAATAATCATGCTGTCTAATCAGCATCTTGATATGCCACACCTGTGAGGTGGGATGGATTATCTCGGCAAAGGAGAAGTGCTCACTATCACAGATTTTTTCAGATTTGTGAACAATATTTGAGATAAATGGTTATTTTGTGTATATAGAAAATGTTTTAGATCTTTGAGTTCATCTCATGAAAAATGGGAGCAAAAACAAAAGTGTTGCGTTTATATTTTTGTTCAGTGTATATGTAATTATGTAGGTCCAGTTATTCTTCGTTTTTCTGTTTGTCATATAATTGTTATTCAAATCAAATCAATCAAAGTGAATGATTACCCTTTGTTTGGTCTTTGTTAATAATGTATAGCCTTAACATAACATGTCGTTAAACCAATTGCTAAGATGACTTTAATAGTCATAGCAATTTTACTATATGGATGTTCATATTCAATCATGATGGCAGTTCAGATGTCCTTGCTCTGCTCTCTATTTTCATCTTGCCCCTATTACCTCCTTAATCGTGTATTTTTTTCAGTTCTGAAAAGTCATGCACAAGGGCAGTAATGGTATCAGTTCAGTAAACTAAATGAGTGAGATTTGTTCAGTGTAAAGCTTGGATGGCTGCATTTATCAGACGTCTGTGTCTCTTTATTTATTGAGCCAAGTATATCTTGTCCCCTGCCAATATTGACCCAAGGTCACACACTATCATGTAAGGGCCTGAACTCCACATTCACAAACAATCTCTCTTTTTTTTTTGTAATAGTGCGCTGAGAAAAAGCAAAGCAAAGGAAAAAAAAAACAAGATTTAGAATATGTTGTTCTACAAGGTCATGAGATATATTTAATACTGAGGAATACAGGACACATACTGTATATGTTGCATAGCCAACTTTGCATTACATATGCTGATTCAAGTCTATTTTAACATTTGAATAAGCTAAACCTGACAATATAAAAGAAAGAAGTGAAGTAGATAACAAAGTTTGCGGACTGTAACTGTGACAGTAGATTTTGTGCCTGACCACACAGCTTGGCAACAGTCACTATTTATGGCGCAAGGGGGAAGCAGTGAAGAATAATTCCTAATTTGCCGTAAAGGTGAATTGAATTGGATGGCCATTTCAATGAACATAAATTTCCCTTAATGAGAAGAATGATATTTGGCTAGCAGTGTGTCCTCTGACACGTGGTCTTTTTTCATTCTACATATCCTTCACTCCTTGACAGCTGTTTATCCTCCATAGCCCACTAGCATGAGATGGATGCCTGCAGCTTGGCTACAGTTCCACTACATCAGCACACTATATCTGATTTGTGATTTTCCTGGCTTCTTTTTTTTCCCGCTTCTGCCTCAGATTTCTCATTTTTTATTTTAACTATCATCTGTTATTGGCCTCTCTGTCACTCATTCATAATACTAATCACTTCCCTTCATACTCTCATTCTAACAGAGGTTGTCCAACTGAGCCTGGCGGAGGACCAGTGGATCAGTGTCTCTACGGTAACAGTGGGCCTTAGTGCGGTCCTTACGTGTGCCATCCAAGGAACGCTGCGTCCACCAATCATCTGGAAGAGGAACGGCATCATCCTGAACTTCTTGGACCTGGAGGATATCAACGTGAGTGTATGTTTTCGGTTTCTTCATCAAGGTTATTGCTCTAGTTTGCATGAGTTGATTGCACAAGCATCTTATCTGACTGTCTACAAATGTTGGTCTGCATGGAAGTCCACCTTAAGGGTGTGCAGTGGACTTGCGAAGATGACAAACTGTGTCTCATTCAGACCCTTGCTGACACAGAAACCATAAATTCAATAGAGGACATCAGAAGGAATTCCAACAAAAAGATTACTCCCCAGCTTTCTCCATGAAACAGTAGAATTATAGCTCCCTCGGTGCTTAATGAACTATGTGGCCCTGCTCCTGTTTGGACACATTTATTCTTCACAGGTGACAGCACAGCACTGGCCTTGCTTTACCCACCGCCGGATCACAACTCACTAATTGCATGTTAATGAGCGGCCTTGTTGGTCTGCTGTGATGATGAGCCGATAAACAATGTCAAGTGTTAAGGTGGAGACCGGAGGAGAGGCGATGGCAGAAGAAGTCCCTCAGGATCTTGACCCTGAATAATGAATTTCCGCAGAGCAAATGGATCTGAAGGGGAGGAGGGAGAGAGGACTGTGTGTGTTTGGCTTTCTTTTAAGCCCAATCAAAGATAAAGCATGAGTTAACTGATAAGAGACTACTATAGCATATAAATGATTTAAAGTTAAACAGTCAGATAGTATATTACATTTCCATTTCAAAAGGTACCTAGTCGCATTTCCATGATAACTCTATGAAACAATAAAATAAAATAAAATAATGGGGAGTAGAGGGACACAGAAAAAGTGTGACATTAATTGTTACGCTCCTCGTAAAGAGACTCAAAACTTGAACCCGCTATGCAAGAACACTTGGGACGGAGACTTAGGTGAAGTGTCAAAAACACTGGATTTATTTAAGTCCTCAAAAAACAGGCAGGAGACAAAGTAAACTCTCAACAGAGTGGGAAGAACGTGGAGCAGGGCTGAGACGGAGGTTGGGCTGGACGTGGCAGGCAGGACGGAATGGAATATGGACTTTCTGGAACAGGCACAAAACAGAACAGGATTAGTATATGAAAAAATCCAACTGGAAGAGTATACAAAAAGACTAGCAATTCTAGTCAGCCGGAACTGGAGTTTACCACTGTGAGTATACGAAGAACTGGCGAAGTCTGATGATCGAACCGGAGTTTTAAGCAGCAGCAGGTGAGTAGTGGTAATCAGTGATGATGAGAAACAGGAGCGGAGGTGAGTTGGCGGGAAACGGAAAGTAGGTCAACCACATCCAGCCAGGAAGACAGACAAACAGAAAAAAGGAGAAGGAGATACTGCAATTCCTCACATTAATTGCAGTAATCTTTTTGAGATTTCTCTGTCCAACATTTGATACAGGTCTACTTTCAACAATGCAAGGTGACAGGATGAGAGAAGGGAAAGCACATTTACTTCCTGTCAAAGTACTTTCAGCCCACCATTATCCTCTATTGAACTTGTTTGAATGGCAACAGACTTATTTTTGGAAGTTTCGTCTGACACTGATGGAAACCTTTCTGCGCTGTGGCATACAACCCTTTAACCTGAGAGCTGAGCCTCCATTACAATCAGTTTCATTTGTCTGCTCTCTCATAGTATCTTTCTGTCCTTTGTTCTCCATCTTGCTGTCTGTTTGTCTCACTCTGGTTTTCTTACCCTCAATCAAAAAACTAGGTCTCTTACATATTGAATGTGCTCTCCAAAATGTAACTTCACGGTGTACATTGGAAGGTTCTGACCTGTTTCACCACAGTTGATTGCAGGAAAGCAAAATAAAACACAACACCAACAACACACACAAAACAGCAACATAATATGCCACAGTGCCGTCTATCAGCCGAGAAATTAAATGAATAATGTATATTTCTTTATTAAAAACAATTGCTACAGAGCTACTTTTAATCTGCAGGTGCACTGTTTTCACTTGGTAAACATGAAATGAATGTGGCTCTTTATATGCGAACTGATTTAGTTTATTGCAGCTCCATTGTTCTGGAAATTATGAAAAGCAATGATGATTAATAGTGAAGAAAGGTCAAAGCTGACGTCGGTGTAGTGCTGCATCTGAAATGCAAAACTTCAATGAGTGATTTGAATTGTAATAATTGTGTAGCCACTGGCCATCTTCATATATAATTATTCCAGGGCTCTTTCATTATGAAAGCATATCATCTAACTTGACTAAAAATAAAAGCCTGTCATTTTTTCTTTACAGTTTTTCAGTAAAGTGAACAACTTTTTTCCATGATCTTATGAGCAGCTGTGCAGACCAAAATCTACCATTGAAGTTCATGTCTTTTTCGTCACTAATGACACTAAACAACCAGACACAAGACTACTCAGTAATCTGAGCGAAAAACAATTAAATAATTCTTCAAATTTGGCAGATTCGTCCAACATATTTGTATCTTTTTGATACTTCAGCTATAGCCGAATATGAATTTTGCGAGTGGATTTTGATTGGCCCGTTTAGTTTGTCCTTAATGTGAGACTTACCATTATATCATTGCACCTGCTTATTACCTTTAGTCACCCAACACTAAACTCCTATAAACATCTGCATATAAAGCGTTTTTTGTTAACACACCAGAACAGCACACATACTAAAAAATAAGATCTGTATCACCATTGTTTTTATTGACTTACAGTTTGGTGTGAAATGAGCTCTGTAGCAAAAAAAAGTATTAATCAACATCTCAGGTATGAGTTTGGGACACCTTGGTTGATGATTTGCAAAGTCGCCGTTCAGGAGCCAACCCAACTGGATGACTTTTTTTCCAAAGTCTAGAGCTAAGATTTTAAACAAAAATAATTAGGCATAACCTGCCAGATATTTCAACGCTACACTTTTTAGCTCTAATGGCCCTCTCAGTTTTAATTGCCCTCACTGGTTTAGTTGTAACTCTCACTTTAAAGGCAGCCTAAATTCCCCCATCTATCTCACCAGAAAGTATTTTCACATTCTCCTGTCACAAATCGACCCTCTGTCAGGTCACATTAACTTCCAGAGCCTTGTGAAGGAGAACAGCCGTTCGTGGTGTCCGTGTCACGACAGAGGCACATCAGGATATCTGCTCCGCCACTTGGTGGGACAGCAAACTATTTAATGCCTTAATCCGCCCTAAGCTGTGGCTGGAACCCCCTGGGGACTGCCGCATGCTGCACCAACAACAACCAGCGCCATTCATCAACCTAATGGGCTATATATTTTTAACCCTTGCCATTTATCAGGCTGAGGCAGCGTGATGAGGGAAAGTGGAGGATCAAATTCCCCAACGCCTGCTTAAGCTCAACAGGGAAACCATTGATTCATGGTCTCTCTTCCCTTTCACATCACTCTTTTCCTCTCCTGTCTTTTCCCATCACACCCTGCTGTTGTACATCTTTATGTATTCTACCAAGCTACCTCCATTTCTCCCTCACTCCCTGTGGCTCTTTCCTGCACCCCATCCTTCACCACTATTCCCTCTCCTACACCTCCTGCTCTTCATCTGGCTTCTCTCATCATGTTCACCCTCCCTACTCCTCTTTTTCCCATCTTTTTCACAACCACCTTCTTTCCTAACTTACATTTCCTCTTCCATTTCTTAACTGTATTGCAGGACTTTGGGGACGATGGCTCCCTGTACATCACCAAGGTGACAACCATCCACATGGGGAACTACAGTTGCCATGCCTATGGCTATGAAGACCTCTATCAGACTCATGTGCTGCAGGTGAATGGTCAGTAGTGGCTCATTTCTTACTTACAGTGATGTAAAAAAATATGTGTTTGTGCTACTCTGTGGTTCCCCAGTTAGGGACTTGTTTCTTATTGCCTTCCTGTTTACAGGGAAAACAGTTAAAAAACAGTCTCTTAAGTAATCAAGCCAACAACCATTGATCAAAACAAAGGATACCATGAGAGACATTTAGTGCAGCATTTCAATATGCCAATCTAAACGTGTTCTAATCATATCAAGCCCCTCTCATTGTACTCCATCCATATATAAAAAACACTTAACAACACTATGATACTGCATGGAAATATCAGGATTGTTTTTTGTATTTTTTCAGTAGATATAACTACCAACAGCATGAACTCGGCATTAACCATTTATCCGCATATCATGTCAGATGTTGAAACATTAATTATGCTATAAGATCATATTCATAAAACACAGTTCAACACATAAGTTACAATGTTGTTAACAGAACGCAAAAGTTCAGAACATCAAGCAAACCCAGAAATGTGTTGGCTTCTCTGAGACTTGTCGTAGGCTTTTAAAATCAAAGAAGTTGCTTGTCAAAAAAAAATATTTTAGGTACAAATAAACAGTTTCAATAAAGCTGTGTTGTTCATACCTTTATGTTTACAATATATGCTAGATACACATGGCTCACAGCATCGCAATACGTTGCATCAAAGGGACCAAGGGAAACAACATCATTGCATATGTGAAGCTAAAACCTACAGTATGTGTGCATGCAGCACATCACTTCGTTGCAGGGGAGAAAAGCCACTTAAAGGGAAAATACATCTGAAACTACATTGCATTTTGGCAGGAGGAACTTATTAAGGAACCAACTTGTATACATTATCTGCAAAAGGGACTACCTTTAGACTTGAGAGTTATTATTATGCATCTCTCCGAGGAACACCCACAGAGGAAGAAGCCCCCTAACTGTAACAAGACAAATCAAAGATACGGCTTCCAATGTATGCGCTTTTGTCTCAGGGTGGCAAAGGAGGAGGAAAATGTATTCAATGAAACCTCTTTTAAGAGAGACAATAGGTGTAATTATTTTTTTGTTTTTCTGAGATGCTAATTGTAAAGAAATGCAGCTGAGTTTTAGACCTTGAACTAAAGAGGGAGAGGGGCTGAGGGGAAGGGAGTCATGGAGACAGACTCTGGCCCTGAAAGGCGAGATATCAGGAGAGGGCAATTACCAAATGTTTGTGTAGGGGGGACTCGAGGTATTTCAAGCTCGATAGGACGAGGTGAGATAAGGTGGAATGGAAGGGAGCCAAGAGCCACATTAAACTAAGTGGACCCTTTGCATCGTGTTGTGTTTATAAGAATTACACACATGCTTCTGTTTTTACTGAGATGCGAGCAATGGCAGCGCTGCGGCACCCACAGTCGTAGTTTAAAAGTACTCTTTCTGTAATATTATAGTACCCTAGAGTCTGGTATCAATGCCGTTGAAGAATGTTTCTTAATGTGAAGTACACACTCAATAATGAATGGGAGAAAGGAAGAGTTTCTGTGAAAAAAAGATTGTAGAAAAACCAAACAAATGATTGATATAAAATGTAGATCACAGATGATAAGACAGACAGGCTGAGGGTATGGCGGAGGTATAAACACTTGTGTGTGAGTAAAGGAAAGGGTCAATAAAAACTAAATGGAACCAGAATTAACAAATAGACCCAAAGTACAAATACCATAACGTAATAATACTACATTTATTACATTTACATTAACTAACAAAAAGGGGGAAAATAAAGTTAAGGAAAAACTGAAATAAGTTTGCAGCAAGCACCAGAAGCGACATTAATATTGCATAAGGGGGAATGTTGTAGATTGAATGTTAGAGGTGATTGAACTCCTGGAAAGTCAGGGGGGGGGCATCAGGATTTTGGCAGCATCCACCGGTGTTGAAATGTGCCTAGCATCCAAAGCAGAAAAATGAAATCGTACCTGTTCCTATAAACTATTACCTCATATTTCATTTTCCCCCTCGATTCCTCCACATTCATTTGCGCTCTTCTCCCGGAGAAGGTGGTAAGTGGTAGATACGTCCAACATCTATTTCATGCAGGACTCGAGCTGTAATAAAGCAGCCCCAGAGCTCTTGGGTTCTTGTTATGTGTGAATATATTCCATGCTGTGGTGAGACAAATTCCTCTCTGCCCACTGCGTGTGTGGGTGTTTGTGCTATATTCCCCTAGGAGTTACCATGAAACAGTGTGCAATTAGGTTTTCACTCGCGCCTCTGCTCTCTCCCTGTTTGTGTCTTCGGTTTTGTTTGTGCGTCCAGTCCCTCCAGTGATCCTGGTCTACCCGGAGACGCAGGCCCAGGAGCCCGGCGTATCTGCCAACCTCCATTGCCACGCCGACGGCATCCCGAATCCCAAGCTCCTCTGGCTGAAGAACGGCATGGACCTGCTGCCCAGATCCTCCACACAGCTCGCTCTCATAGGTGGGGAGTTTTTGATTATTTGTTTTGGAAGAGCTGTCAGCGTTTTAGCAGACTTTTGTCACATGCAGTGTTTTTCCATTAGTATTGCCAACCAACAGAGCTGCAGTATGCCAACACTGCAGAATCCTTTATAAACAAGGGAAAGCATAAATAGAAATAGAAACAAAGCTTGAAAATAAAGCTGGTGTTGAACGTATTATTAACTAATATCTAAAACTCTGCAGTAATGTTTAATTATGCTTTTGAATAATCAAGCTGTACTGTTGATGGCAATATCAGTTCATGCGCTAAACCCAAAGCAAACTAACATATGGATGTTATGTTAATGTTAACTTTGTGTGAGAGATTTAAAACCTGTTAAATTGTCTCGGTGTACACATATGCTCCAGATAGACTTTTCTATCTCCTAAACTGTTTTAGGACAATATTTTCTTTAACTCCAATCACCAGTGTTTATGTTGTGTTATATTCTAATAATGCTTATTTAACAGATCCACAACACTTCAGTTCCATTTACATTCTCTACCAAGTTGATGAAACACGGATTGCAGTCTAACTAACTATCTTTATTTTGCCCATATAAAAAAAACCTACTTCATCTTTAGAAATCGAATATAAATGGGGAAATTAAAATGAGCAAATAAGATAAAATATATAGTGTGTGGGAGAGTCGATGGCAGCTCTCTAGACTAGAATGGTGTTTTTTAAGAGACACTCTCAATATAAGAGAGAAGGAGCAAAGTGAAGCACGACTTTTCCTTTTATGTCCTGGTTCTCATTAAGGGAGAGTTTATTGGCTGTGTGTGGGTCATTACCTGTGGTAATAGCCTGTTATCAACCCCTCAGACACTCAAACATGGGAGGGTTTGCAAGGTTCACCAGCACATAAACACTGCAGTGGCTACGCTTACAGATTTGCCAACTAATATGGGCAAGGGGCATGCGTCCCCCTCACAATGATTATTTGGGCTGGTTTTATACAAAATATATAGTTAAAGGTGGGGTAGGTATTTGAGAAACCGGCTTGAGATATACTTTTTGTTATATTCCATGGAATGCTCTTAACATCCCGATAGCAATGAATATCTTAAGTGCTTTGACTAAAAATCCATAAACAAATGTCATCTGTGGAAGCCGTAGTACTGTAAAAAGCACAACCAATCATTTTAGCCGGCCCGGCTAAAATAACTGGATGGCCTACCTGCCTGTCAGCCTTCCATCTGTGCACAAACTTATCTCGTGCCCTCATTGGTCATGTGCGCGTTCGTGTGTGTTGGAGGAGGGGCTCTGTAGATTGTAGGCAGATTTTTTCCGGCTGTTTATTTTCAAATTTTAGCGCACTCGAGCTGGTTTCTCCAAATGTACCTACCCCACATTTAAGTTAAAAAACTAGAGTGGAAACGTATATAAATTACCATTGTTGTCCAGCAATGCCTTAGAAAATTTATCAAAAGCATATAAGGTATGATTATTTTATTTTATTTCCACATATCTCACGTGTTAGGAGTGTAATAAAAGCAGTGTAAAAGTGTTGCCTTTATCTTTATATGTGGCTGTAAAACTACACACTGACAGATGGTAGTGAGGAGTATTGATTGTAAGCCACAGTTGAACAGTAAAGAAAGAAAACTGCTTTGTGTTGCTGAATGAATGAAACTGTGTTCTGGAACCGTTTGCGGTGCTGAAACATCAAATTAATCTTTGCCTGATATTCCCTGTTGTTCAGTTTGTATAGCAAACAACAAACCTCTTAACCCAGCTTCAGTGATATCTTGATGTGTGACATTATGGATCTTTTTTTTTAACCACAATGCTTTGTGTGAAGAAGGCTCAGTACATTATCGTTATCACATAACTCAAATTCCACGTTAATCAAGGTCATCTGAGGGAACAGGCTGCATTTGTGACTGTTGAATGAAGACTGTGAGCTCAATGACTGGATTTAGACTGTGGGTATAAACCTGCCATTTGCTGCCAAATGTCCTACTGCCTGCCGTTGTACTGTTTTGAAAAGACACTGTCGTTGAATCCTGTGTTTTACGCTGCCCAAGACATCTGTATTCAGTCAAAGAATCACAAACAAGCTTAGTGTTTTCCCTCATAGCAGAATAACAATATGTGGGGCCTGGCCTTTCTTCAGAGTGATGCAGCACTTTGGATTTGGAGCTGTGAGACTACTGGATTTCTACTTTTTATGAGGTCACAGAGAAAATCATCTTAAGTGTCATGATGACAACTTAGAATACTTTAACTAGGATCTTGCACAGATAATCATTCATTTGAGATACAGTAGAGGGTAACACAAGAGTGGATTTCCACTTGCATCTCAAATTAATGAAAGCAAAATCCTTCCCTGTCCCAATCCCAGAGGAATGAGATATGTTCCATCCCGTTCCTGTTTCCTTTTCAGATTTATATTTGATAGAGATGAACAAATTGCAATTGTCTACACCGGTTCTAATTGACTGTCTTTCTAGAACTATATTAACCATCATGTACCTGATGGTTCAACCATTTCAACATACGAATAGTAATGTTATCCATTGTGAATATATACATATTGAGTATAGCCCCATTGAATCATAAATTCCTCATTTGCCCTTACAACAACAAGCTCAAGGGTAGAAGTAAAGAAGATTAAAAGTTCTAACTTAGAGGAAAAACACCAATCCTTCTCAAAATCCCTGTCATTGCAAACAGCTACAATCCTGCAAAATAGGGATAAAGAGACTAATTGAATGAGTGGCTGATTCAGTGGTTTTCAATAAGAATTTATCACAACATAATTATGAATTAGAAGTAATTAAACTGGTGTCTCATTCTATGAAGGCCTGCTTCGAGGCACTTTTTACTTCAAAGCTCTTTTCCCTTGATAAAAGAGAATTATTATCAGAAGCCAAAAGACGTTTCACTTTATGTGAAAAGCTTTGCGTCAACTTTTGTAACGTGTTTTACGACCCACTAGGCATTAATTATAGGGCAGACATCATTTTCAACGTATAAAATAGAACACTTATCTTGAAGGCTGCAGTCTTTTTGGTTGTTTGTTCTATAAATATTGTTCCTGCAGGAAGACACTTGAGTGTGTTTTAACAAAAGAAAAAGACCCTTTTATATCCTCAAAGTGGGAATATTCTAGAGGTTTATAGATGCTATAGATACTAGATGTAAAATAATTGGAAACGGATGCAGCGTTTATGTTCGTACACAAGATCTATCAAAGCAGCGCTGTGACACCCAACATAATTCACTCTCCCAGTGCTGTGAAGTGTGGTGTTTAATGCAGTGCTACATACAGGACAGGAGGGATCAGAGTGCAGCTGTACATCACAGAGCTTGATGCTACAGCAAACATCAGAGCGTCCACCTCCTCCCTCGACCTCTGTGTCCTAACATCCAACATCACCTGTCACCTCCATCCACCTCACCTGCAGCTGCAACTTCAGGCAAACAATGCAGCATTGTACAGAATATGTGGGGAAATAAATAAAGTGTGAAACTAAGCTATTATATTAGAATGCAGGATATGTAATGGCATACAAAATGGTATGCTGATGGAAAGTTACTTGTGTATCAAACATATTTCAGACAAAGAAGCCTTCTTCAGTTCAATTCATGTCGATATCAACAAACATTCTGCTATATATACTTGACATAAGACGAACAACATGCTTTTTTCTCCCATGCTATGCTATTGGTATATTTATTACAGAAAAACAATGGTTTAAAAATGTTATACTGTATAAACTCTGTTGCCCATAAAGTTGGAATGCTTTTATTTTCAGACACATTCCTCTTTTTATTCCTATTTACACACACCATCATTTCATGGGAAGAGTTACAACATATTGTATTCCAACTGTATGGGCGACAGTGTACTAAACCCACAACATAGTCGAAGATGGTTGTTCTGAAGGCAAGGCAAGGCAAGGCAAGGCAAGTTTATTTATACAGCACTTTTCAACACAAGGCAATTCAAAGTGCTTTACAAAAAATGAAAGAGATTAAGAAAATGGCATTTAAAATCAGTCATTAAAAAGAAAAGCTAATAAAATAAACATTAAAAGAAAAAATACATGGATAAAAGTTACAGTGCAATTAAACATTAAAAGAAAAAAGTACATGGATCAAAGTTACAGTGCAGTCTAAGATATGAATAGTTCAATTAAAAGCAGCGACAAAAAGAAAAGCCTTTCTTTTTTCCAAATGTAAGATATCAAATAATGTAGCAACATGTACCTGCTTCAGTAACATTTCCTTTTGTGTTTCTATTTCCGTAGCCAATGGTAGTGAGCTCTTCATTGGCAGCGTCCGGTACGAGGACACTGGAGCCTACACATGCATCGCCAAGAACGAGGTTGGCGTGGACGAGGATATCTCCTCTCTGTTTGTTGAAGACTCGGCCAAGAAGACCCGTAAGTCAAAGAACATTATCTCTGTTAAAGATGAAGCCAGAAATAAGTCCTCGCACCCACTTTTTAAACAGTATATTGGCGTAAATCCTCATGGCATAGATAATAATGTTAGTAGTAATTAGGTTAAGTGATATAATCCTTTTCATAGTTGTCCTGTGATCATGCTGCCAGCTTGATAAACCCAACAGATGTATGGAGTTTTGAACTAAAAATGAACCTCAGGCAGCTTATTTTATCCCATATGTTATAGCAAGGGACAAGCGCCCAAATTACATATTTTATGTTACTTTGATATCGGTTCTTTCATTAGATTGCATCATTTTGACGAGTTAACAATCGCCATCGAGAAAGAGCTTATTGGGCCAGTTAAGATTAAACTCTGACTTCCGTTTGATCTCTTGATTTAAGAGGAAATATGATCCTGTCAACAGCAGTAAGGAACATTTTGTAGCTGTCAAATATGTGTGCTCTTGGTATGACATGAGATCAATCACCCTCTCTCTTTCTTGGATGATCTGTCTCTTTTTTTTCTGAAGGTGATTTAATGTGTTCTCCCTCTTTTCCCTTTCTATTGCTGGGTGGCTGAATCTGCAGTTGCAAACATTCTGTGGAGAGAAGAAGGTAATTCATTAAAGTAAAAACTTTGATACTCTTGTGAATAGGAAAATATGGTGGGCATAGTTTGTGGCTCTTCAGGGCCTGCAGCTGAATATCTGCATTTTCCAACACCTTTGCTGTACTGTCCAGAAGAATCACAACACTGTTTCCTCTCCAGCAAAACTTTACTTCCAACCTTGTTTTCTTCTTTTCGTGCCCAGGGTGTTTCTTGTTTTCTGGAGTGCTTTCTAATCTATTTTTCAGATCACCTGGGGAGGAAACATTTACACACAAGCAGAGAATTGATGCAAATAAAACCACAGACCAAGTGTGGTGGCTACACACGAAAACAACTGTGTGGTGTTCAGCAGTATAACGATCCATGCTGTCCTTATACTATATATTACATCAGTACGGCCACAAGAACAGTTTTACTACTGCACTGGAAAACCGCTGCGGTTTAGAATGCAATACAAACACAATCTGTTTTATATACATCATCACCACATCAGGTTTACCACAAAACCAAACGACGTGTAAGCATTTGGATTATTTCTAAACACTTATCAGCACTCAAAGCTGCCTCATTAACAGTGTGTGTGTGTTTGTGTGTGTTGTGCAAGTGCTTGTTTTTTGTCTCTGTATTCATACATACATATTCAGTTTGCTTCTTTGGTGTACTATGTTTATCTCACAGCGTTATGACAGCCTGACAAATCAATCGTCATCACAGTTTTTGTCAATGGCGCAAGTGTGTTTATGTGCTTATGCTTATCATCTGTGCTCATGTGACGTGTTCCTGCCGGCAGTAATAGACTGCTGTCGAATCATCCAAATGCCTCTGCATCAGACTGCGATGCTAACTCATCAGCAGCTGTTTACACGTCGAGATGTGAAATGTTTCCTCTTTGAGGCAATGCCTTTAATTTGATGCTTCTTGCGACAGTATGTGGTTGGCGTGTTGCTGACAGGGCCCTTTGTAGGCTTTGTCAAAATGGCTGGCAGACACACACTGCCCATCCCCGCTAACGCGATAGCACGCTAAGAGGAGTCCTCGAGCAGGGAAATTGAAATGCCAGTCACAAATGTCAGATAAGATGGGAGCGGGATATTCTGTTGTTGTAAATGTGTATTTGTTGTTTTTTTCTTCAAGCGTGTTTCAACCTTTGTCTGTCTTCTGTGTTCTCTTCCAGGGTTGAGCGTGGGAAACATGTTCTATGTGTTTTCTGATGAGGGTATCACTGTTCTTCAGCCCAGTGAATGTGAGATACGCAAACATATGCAGCGGGCAGAGAGGATTGTTGCTACATATGTAAGTGCACGTTATGCCATTATTTTACTTTCAGGTTTAAATTGTGTTATAGATTCAATAAGATTGATGTATATTACTAATTGGTCATTTGGTTAGGTTACACTAACCTATATTAAAGTTTCAATATTCCTCCATACACAACTTAATATATTCCATATATCTATCTGTCTATCTCTCTCTCTCTCTCTCTCTCTCTCTCTCTCTCTCTCTCTCTCTCTATCTATCTATCTATATATCTATCTATTTCTGTAGTTAGGAGGGTTTTAGTATAAAAAGATTGCGACCAAAATGAAGGCTATCATTCCTTCGATGTCCTTCCTGTTGTCAGAGCGGGGCTCCTCACCTAACTAATGTAATGGGATTACTCGTGTCCATTAGTCAACAGCTTGCACCAATAGACTGTATAGAGTCTATACTGCAGACCCTGAGGTTTCTAATCCACTGGAGAACATCCCTCTCTCAGAGCAATGGGCTTTAGATGGTTCAATTCGCTTGTTCCTCTGAGGGATTTGAGTTTTACAGGACCCTGTAATTGTATTAGAGATCAATACAAACTCAATAAGCCATGTGTTAGCCAGTTCCTGCTGTAAACAGCACTTTCTCCACTTTGGTGAGGTGGAGAGAAGGTGAAAACTCTTGCATGTGTGTCTGATGTTGTATATGTGTGTGTGGTTGTGTGTATTTGTGATTACATACTAGTATATATGTTGTGTGTGTAGAGGAGTGTGTGAATAAATGTCTTGTCAGCAAAGACAGCATGCTGCAGAGCCTTTAAATGCAGTGTTTCCTTAGCCAGTTTATATATTTCGAAAGTTTCACACTTAAAAGTGAAAACACTCATTATGAAATAAATTAGTGTTATCAATAATAATAATATTACATAATATAATAATATTATTATTGAAATGAAGTATGCATGTCTGGTAGGACTGGGTTATATGGCAGAATTTCATATTAGTTGTTCAGTCCTTTTGTCCTTAATGTAATTGTATAGCATGCTCTGCAGTGTACATTTGATTTGTATTGTATGTCAGCTCTTTTGTTCTTGCCTTGCCTTCACTCCCAGTACCAAAAATGTACTGAACTGTACTTTGTAAAAAATAATTTCTACATTTAATCTTTTCAAAAAAGTCTAAAAAGAGAACAGTAATTGCTAAACATTTGAATTGATGATTTGTAGATTTATTTGTATTGCATATTAACAATTGTTGACCTTTCCAAATTGTACTTTTAATGATAATGAAACAATTCCCAAACCTCCTATCATCCTCTCTGTTGCCTGTTTGGTCATCCCAGGAGGAGATGTGCCCTAAGGGTGAGGGGGTGTCACCTCAGCACTGTGTGTGGTCCTCAGCAGTCAACGTCAGGGATAAGTACATCTACGTGACCCAGCCCCTCCTGAGCCGACTGCTGGTGGTCGATGTTCAGACGCAGAAGGTGGTGCAGGTGGGTGGAGCACCAAAGTCTCAGAAACATCCTAGATATTAAGTATCTGAGAGGCAAAGAAGGGTTGTAAGTTCCATCCATGACTCCTCTTTCCTCCTCCTGTCAAATCACACCAGAGTTTGGGATAGCATTATTGGCTATTTATTGGATTAAAAGTAGTTTATACTCTTGCAACTGCAGCAAAACTCTATATCCAAAACAGCACAATGTTCACACCCAGCTTTGGGTTTTTTTTTCAAGTGAAGCAAACATGCTACATCTGTGATACCGAGGTTGTTACTGTATTCACACATCCATCACACAGGCTTGGACGGCAATAAACACACCATTTCCATTTTTCTACACTGCAATACATGATCATATTGTTTATGTATTTGTTTACATATTTCCATTCTACAGCACATGGCTCATCAACTGTTGAAGATGCCTCATTTTTTCGCCTACAACATACAACTTTAACATGATATGTAATGTATAATGGTCACAGATGTTACATTCGGAACCAACTCAGAGTTAACAAATCAAAGTAAAAAAAGGCCTGCTAGAATAGAAAGCTCATCAGGTTGAGGAAATGCTGTTGTTAATTGCATTTCCATTTAAAGATTTAAGATGACCAAACTGACATATTTTATTTTGAAACCTTTACTCCAGTATCCATCGCTAAATTAAGCCCAAGTCTTGGTTTCTTTAAAAGCTAACAGAATACAAATCCAGTCGATAAACATTACTTGCGAGCGTGTTTGTCTTCCAGTCAAACAGCATCACCAACATTAGGTGCATTCGATTTAACTTGTCTTGCTCCTGAAGTGCCACAGATGTAAGAAGACCACATGCAAGGGGAAATAAATCAAATGCACCTCAAGCGCCCGAAACAATATGGTGCCCAGGTGGGTGCTGGCTGCCTCACCATTCATCTTGCCTGTAACGGCTGTTTAGAGACTGAATCCCTCAGGGGTTCTTCCCAGGGTCAACATCATTTATAGTGAGGTACAGGATGAGAAGAAATAGGCCTAACTCAAGGAGAAGGAGGCGGGAGAGCAGAAGGGAGTTAAGTGAAAGTCTGAGTAGCAGGATGAGAGAGACGGCAAAGTGAGCAGGTAGCAGTGAAAAACGTTCTTCTTCTCCTTCAGTTTAAAGTGAAGATATTTCCAACTCAACTTATTCCATAATGTCACTCAGGCTGTATCACTTGTAATTATTTAACTGTGCAATACTCATATTACTTAGGATCATAACTGTATAACACTTTACATTTCGAACAATAACATGGTTTTCATCATTTCTATTCTATTCTATTTTATTGTATATTTATTGCACGTTTTTTCCTTTCACGTCATATGTTTATAAATAATTGTATTTTTGTGTTTTTTATTTAATTGTAATTGTTATATTTTTTATTCTAAAATATTGCAACTGTCATAAATCATTCTCCCTGGGAGAAAATAAGGTATTCTGATGCTATTTATGACTAATTTACTTTGAAAAGAAATACAAGATTGACTAAATACTGAGAGATATGACCTCCACTTGTTCCAAATGAGGAATATGTGATAGAATACTACGTGTATTTACCTTTTGGTGATGAAATATTATCACAAGAACAATAACAGAAGTGATATATTGACAAGAAAATCAGAGATGTGTTCTGGTTTATTGTGGTGCAGAAGCTGCCCACTATAACCGAGAAACCCCCCCCTTTTCTCTTTCTCTTTCTAACACTGTAAAAACTGATTTTCTCTCCTTGATCAGCCGACCCTCTCTCTCTCTCTCTCTTTCTTGAAGACCCTCTCTGACCTATGGGTGCAGGAGGTTAATGCATCCAGCCTTTTTTCGTCTCTGCTCTTTCTTTGTTATTTCAAAGCCTTTTTTTTCCAAAGCACATTTCCAACTTTCCTTTCAGCAATGGCCTTTTATTATAAGAGAGAAGATGGCAGAGTACAATAAAAGCGATTAATCCACTGACAGAAGGAATGCATTAACGCAACAATTGCTTTCATTTTTTTAAATGGTAAAGTCAGAGTACTGCATTTATTATCCTCAAGGAGACGACTGAACGCAGTGATTAGGAAGCGTATGTCTAAACACTAGATTGCCACATTAATAAAGACTGTGCAACACTTTCCTTTACAAGTATGAGATTAAAGCAAAACAATTCTTTCTTCAAACTAAACCCAAATGAATCGCTCTATACTCATAACCTGGACTGTTACAGATAAGATGGCCTATTCTCTGTTTGGGGGGAAATGGTGGACTAAAACACAACAATTCTCTTTTCTCTTTCATGAGAAAACCAGAAATATAGATCCTAGAGAAGCACAGATGCCGTTATTGAGGATTAGTTATTGTTGGGTCTTTTATCAACATCCTTTTGATAGAAAGTTTCCTTTAATACAATGTCACCTTTAGGAATGTGATTTCCAGCAGACACTATGAAAGCAGTAAACATGTGGAGAAGCTGCACTAATGAAGGCTTTCAAGTTTGTTCATCCTGTTGCCCGCAAGGAAATCGTCCTCTTTTCTCAAACAAAGGGATCTAACCTTGACTCTGATGTTTCAGACCTGTGCTGGGTCAGCCTCACATTGCACGTGAAAACAACGGCATTTTGGCTGATTAAAAAGAAGATAGCCAAGACCTTGGGTGATCTAGTAACATAAACACCTTACAATGGCTTTGTTTGTAGTCATGTTTTAGGTTTTAGTTATGCTTTTTCTTTTCTCAGACTCAGTGAGCATCCTTTAGCAACGTTTTAGATATTCCTTTTTCCTGAAGAACAATATTGTGAATCTATGCATGCATCTACCTGTATGACACCAATGTGTATTTTAACTGTGTTTTAGTAATAAAGTAATAAATACTTAGTTTTCTGTCTTTGAGTTCAGGTTTGATAGCATTTGATTGAATCTGAAACATTTGAAACCCTTTATCAAGTCTTATTAAGCTTTTAACATGTTCAAGTCAGTAGAGTTGCTGACTCAGAATTCAGCTTGAAATCTTGATATGATACTATGTATAAATGTTTAAATTAAATTGAAGTGACACAATGGGCAAGGCCAACTTGTGTCAATGTCGCAAGTGTGTTTATGTTTAGATATGAGATCCATCGCTGTCTTCTCAACCCTATGAACCTACAGAAGACTATTTTTAGAAATGCATTATTCAACCTTTATTTTGAAAAAATGTAGAATAATAAATTGTAATAGAGACTTTAAATACAACATATGCATGTTGAAAAAACACATGACAAATAACGTCCTTTGCACCAATAAACAAAGATAGGCACTTAATAACAAGTCTTGACACAAATAAATAAACCAAATTAGGAGCAACTGGAAGTGAACGGAGTGAAGAGGGGATTCGTCAAACCGTATGTTGCCATCAAACTAAACTAAAAGCAAGCAAAAAAAGGTAGGACTTAAAATGTGACTTAAAATTGTCAATGGTGGAACAGGAGTCTATACCAGAGCCCGGGAGCAGCAACAGAAAAAAGCTTTATTACCAGTAAATTCAGACAGGCAGTCCACACATAGTGTACATGCACACATGCTGAGTTGACACTTGGCTGACCGGTGCAGAGTGGAGGGCCGGACCTACCATTACTGAACACAGAGCTGGTGTCAGCAGCTCCCTGTCCGCCAGCCAGAAGCAGGGTAATAGATTGTGTTATTTCTCGTTGTTGACATTGCAGCAGACCTGAGGTTGAACACACTCCACCCCCCTCATCTCTCTTTTTTCCTATCTGCCTGTTCCATTCGTTCCTCTATGTTGTATTCTTTCTGTTCTTACACATGCTGAAAAAAACGTTCTCCTTCACTTCAACATCTGCATCATAGAGAAAAAACCTTTGCATTTTGATTAAGGACTGTATGACCTATTCATAAGTAGGCAATGGGACTTTAGCAAGCTGCAGATTTATTTTCAAATGAGTCCTTTGTGAAATGTGATGGTGGCACCATTTGTGATTTGCAGCGTTAACAAAATGATCTTCGAGGTACTGGTTGTTATACAATATTTTCTGATTTCATAGTCAGCTCCAATACGATTCCAAGAGCATTATTATCAAGCAATACACCGGTAATAAACTGATATAAAGTTTTATTTATTTTTTATGATTAATAAAAAGGATCCTCTCAGTTTGACATTTTGTTGACAAATGTAATAGTATTTATGGGTCAACATAGCCAATGATTTAGTTTAGTAGAGTATCTGTAAAAAGGCCATTATGCCTGATATCCCGAGAAAAAATAATCTTACTTACATGTGGAATTTTTGTTGTTATTATATATCATTGATTAGCCTAATAAACCTTCAATATTCCTTTCGTTTTCTGCCCATCTCTTCTAGGCAGTAACAACAGATTCTTTTCCAGTGAAGATGCTCTATGACAAGTCACATGACCAGGTGTGGGTCCTAACATGGGGGGATATGGACAGAACACATCCAACACTTCAGGTTAGTGTGTGTGTGTGTGTGTGTGTGCGTGCGTGCGTGCGTGCGTGCGTGCGTGTGTGCGTGCGTGCGTGCCAGTGTAGCTTTAATGGTAAAAGAAAAAAAGCCCTTCTTTATTTATCATTACTTTTGCTGTGTGTGTATTTGGGATCTCTGATGAGGGATTATCTTCCTGGAAGAATATAATCTATATAAACTGCAGAAAGTTCCTCATGCGAGGAAAACGCACCTTGTGACTAATAGAGCTTTATTGTGTACCTGCGTTTCCTGTTTACATGATAAGTATTTACATGACCACAAATAATCTATGGAGCATTTACAAAGCCAGCAAAACAGTAATTCACAGCTGTGGTGCTGTTGGCTGGTGCATGGCGTCCCTTTGGACCACTGGTGTTGGAGACGTCACAAATGAGAAATGATCACAGGTGTGATTGTATTTAATCCACCTCGGGGGATTGGGTGAGGTGAGGGAGGAGGGGGGAGGGAAGGGGAGGGGGAAGACATGGAGGGAAGGGGAGGGGAACAGAGCCGGTGCCTGGGGGATGCTTGTGTTGGTGTTTTCATAGGGATGTGTGTGTGTGTGTGTGTGTGTGTGTGTGTGTGTGTGTGTGTGTGTGTGTGTGTGTGTGTGTGTGTGTGTGTGTGTGTGTGCGTGCGTGCGTGCGTGCGTGCGTGCGTGCGTGCGTGCGTGCGTGCGTGCGTGCGTGCGTGCGTGCGTGCGTGCGTGCGTGCGTGCGTGCGTGCGTGCGTGCGTGGACAGATCATAGTATAATCATGTAAGATGCTGTGTTCAGTCTTTACTGTTTGTGGTGTCTATTCATTAAAAAGATTGCAGAGGGATGATACACTCTCAAATGTATGACTCTTCAGAGGATCTCTGGAGTGTAATGACTCATTTTTTATTCAGAGAATCACTTGCATAATGCACTGCATAAATTATTTCTTTGTTTTTTGCCTTGTTAGTTTTAAACACAAGTGTTTCATGAACATTTTGAAAGTTAATTAGTGAGTGTGTAGCTGTTAATGGTACTGGAGTCGTCCTAAAAATAAAACTTAATTTTGTAAAAAAAAAATACAGGGCTTTTGAAAGAAAATGTAATGGTAGATTGTTTTGGATCTGAAGGTGCCACTATGGTATGGCAATAAAGAGTTGTAAAAAGACGGCCACCTGTGTGTGGGTTTTAGCAGTTTTCTACTAAGATGTACAATCTCCATGGCCAAGTAGACGGTATGTGTGTTTTCTTTCAGTTTTGCACCTTCTCTTCAGAGTGTAGGTGTACTAGCAGATACTTTGTTTCTGTTTGGCTGTCAGGGCTTTTTTTTGTAGTTTTTTTTAAACTTCTTTTAGAGGTTATAGTTTTAAATGAAGTAGAACATTATTTGAAAATATGTTTTTGTAAATCACAGACAAAACCATTTCCACCTCATATAATTTGAAACAATCAGAGCAGCTTTGCATAACATGTATGGCTGCTTCCTGAACTTCAGAAAACACATTACGGTTTTTTATATCTTAATTTATCCACTTCCTGCAGTTGTTCTTTATTAATGAATAATTATAGAGCAGTGGTTGAATCACTCAAAAATGCAATTGCAGGGAAATTGCATAATGGTTGCAGGCCACGAGGATCACACCACAAATAAATTGTTTGATAATGTCATCATCATTTGGACTGAAAGTAATTGACCCGTTCAGCAGCAGCCTGTCACTAACAGAGGCACTGCTTCGCTCCATACATGTGTATGACTGTGTCTGCACATGATGTGAAGTTGTGTAGTCAGCTCAGTGTGTGTGGTTTCTTTAAGCAGCCACATTTTATGATGGCTCAATACCTCTATGTAAACATCAGAGGGAGTGTGATTGTCAATTCATTAGAGAAGATAAATGGAGGAATCACTGCCGGGCAGAGAGGAGCGTGGCCATTCAGACTGTCAGTCCACTCTGCAACTACGTGTCAGGGAGACCTTAACTCTTTGATTGCTCTCCGTGCCTCCCCATTTATCTCTCAAATAGTCTTGCAATTAAATCATTATTTCAAAAACTCGTGAGGAAACTACATGTTTTCAATTCAGGCTAGTAACATACTAGTTTTTAAATCTATCCATTAAAAGGTATTTTTTATACATTTTGGTTATTAGTTGGTTTTATATCTCCTACAATAATTACATAAATAAAATAGTCTGAAAACGACTGTTGTATAATTAGAAGCATCTGGTAGCTTGGTATTTAAACACACGCCATATACTGTAACAGCAGCATTGATTTGATTCAAGCCTGTGACCTTTGCATGTTTATACTGTAGCTGTCCAATAACAAGACTTAAATCAATACATATCTGATGAAAGAACAAGTTAACAAGGCTATGAATCTGCAGACATTTGATGGCAACCAATCAAATGTGTTTTGTTTGAGTATAATACATGAAGATCTGATCTGCATATCAGCAAACATCTGTCTCCTTTCTTTCTAATGCATGCGTTTATAAATCAATGATCTACGCCTCAGGAATTCAAAGACACAAAGTATTCATTTCAGTTTTAAAATTCTGCATTGATCTGGAACAGCGTGCCTTTGAGTCTTCCAGGGAATCCATAATGTGCTTTATTGCTCCCCATGAGCTAAATGATGAGTTATCTGACAGTACATAAAACAATAAAACATGTAACATGTGGTGCGCTGTAAAACATAAAAGTGCCTTGTAAGATTTATTGAATTCAAATCATACAAATACAGTGGAGCATTTGAGGAGTGCCATCTTATATGGGTGTTCTGTAGTTAGATGGGAAAGTTTAAAAAAAATAAGGTTGAGGGAATGTTGTTGTAAAGAAAAAGCTACTCAGTCAGAACCAAATCCCCCACAGGTATTAGTGCAGCCGGCGAGGCGGGGCAGGAGTAAAACTCAATTGGCCTCGTTGCTGAGTGTGTGGATATGAAATGCAAGCATGAGCGATGACAAAGAGAAGCCAGTGGCATTAAGTCGAGAGCACCTGCAGCCCTGGAGACCTGAGTTGCTGCCTAATAATACATGAGCGATACTCCATTGAACCTCATTAACTGTCCTCATTGTATTCTGCAACTGTTGTAATGACTGTTTTTTAATGAGGATTCTTTTCATGTTTCACACGGAATAAAAACCTGCAGATCTATTATTTTTCTTTAACAAAAGACGAGACGGAGAATACTTTTGAGGAGTATTGCAGAAGAAGTGCAACTTAAACTGCTATTTTTATTTCCTGCATTTCTTACTTCTGAGGGAGGAGCGTGGATTTGCCCCCCACTGGGCATCAGGTAGGGGTTCAGCTAGAGCTGCGTAGGCGTGGACATCAAAACAGATTTTAAGCTTAGTTCTTTCTTTTAATACAATATTCTATATGCGCTCCAGCAACATTTGCCTAGGTGTCTAAACCTGGAGTCGCTTCAATAAGCCGAGTTTCTCTGAGAATATCAAATCTGTACAAATCTGAATAAAAAGAGCTGGTTTTATTCTGCAAGCAGGGGCAGGAGTTGACTGGTTGCTTTTAATACATGCACAGTGTCACATGTGAAGGTCCCATAAACACCTCCACTTGTCCTTGCTGATCAGCAGGCATGCATGATGAAGCTTGTGTCATGGACGAAGCGGTGCCCATCAAAAGTGTGCGCTCTCCCCACCTTGCACTTTACAAACATGCTGATTCAGTACCAGGTGTGTGACATGAGAAATGGGGCTTTTATTGTCGGGTGTGCGTCGAAGACAACCATCTTTGTGTAAGATGCTTTATCAGATAACGGAGGTGGAGCCGCTCTTCATCAGCCGGAGTCATGCACTGTAGATGTTTATCTGTTAAAGGATTTATGGGCATGTCATCTGGACAAGCTCCGGCTGTTCAGTCCTGAAATATGAGGCTTTATTCTGATGAAGCTTAAAGGTCACGGGTTTAACTATCGCAGGTTTTATATGAGCAGTACTCATATATAGCAGTAACCAATACTGGAGTTTTGAGGCACATACCACCATTTAAGGAGTGAGATGTTTTTGATAAGGATCCTTATAATTAGTTGAACATTGTGACCAGGTGAATCATAAACTTGTCAGAGATCTGTGGTAGACTATGTAATATAGATACTGTTTCCAAATGACCATTTAATTAACATTTATTTGACAATTATGCACTACAATGTATTACTTATTGGCATATTCCCCAACACTGATTCAGCTTGGATAAATGTCAGCGTCTGATCTGTCTAGCTCTGCACTAGATCTCAATCTTGTTGTAACTGGTTCTTTCATTGCATAGAAAGTATGTCTCATTAAATGTTGCTATTTTACCGGTTGATGGCAATTAGTTTTCAAGTATTTTTTTTTTCAATTACCGAAACCGATATTAAAACAAAATAAAAATAAAGTTGGCAAGATAACCACAACAAGACTAGAGAAATAAAAACATAATTAAAAAGAATACAACAGACAACAACAGTACAACAATAAATAGGAACAGACAAACATGCAAACAGATGAAATACTATCATACTATGATACAGTTAAAAGTGTTCACATTTTTGATTGCTTAAAAGCCAGTTCTTATGATAGTGGTTCAATGTATGATAGGAGGTGTTATTCCTTATCTGTATCGGTATTGTGTTCCAAAGTGTTGATGCCCTCACAGAGAAACAGTGTTTACCAAAGGAACTGGACCTAAGAGGGACTACACAGTCTCCTCTTAGGGCAGACCTTGTGGTTCTGCTGTTTGAATGTGTCTGCTGTATAAAAGTGCAGAGTAGTGGGGGGTGCCTTGCCGTTCATAATCTTAAAAACGAAACATGCATCAGTGTGTTTTAAAAGATTTTCCCAGCTGAGCAGGTTATGTTTGTCCAGGATTTTGCAATGGTGGTATAGCTTAATGGTGTGCTATTCACCTGGGTCCAGCTAGTCATACAGTATGTTAGGTGGGGAATGATCATGGCAGTCATATAGACTTTTGCTACAGGTGTTGTCAAACAGTTGCTTATATATATAAAGTTTGCTAGATTGTATTTAGTTATTTGCATTACCTTTCTCACTTGTTTTTTTAAGGATAGAGTAGTGTCAAGGATAATGCCTAGATATTTAAAATGTGTAACTGTTTGAATGACCTCCCCAGACACATATACCTTGAGTTCACAGTGTTGGTCTTGCTAAAAAAAACATACAGACTGCCTTCTTAACATTCAGATATAGCTGGGAGTCAGTAAGCCATTGATTTACATTAACCATTGCATCACTTAGTTTGGCAGCAGCTTGGGCCTTAGTTTTTGCATGGACATAAATGACAGTGTCATCAGCGTACATTTGCACCGCACATCCAGTGCACACTGATGGCAAGTCATTTATATAAAGGCTGAATAGAATTGGGCCCATGATAGATCCCTGGGGTACACCCAGTTCATTCCTCAGGGGTGGTGATGTCTCGCCACTTACCCTTACACACTGAACTATATCTGACAGATAGGAGCTCATCCAGTCTATTGCACTGGGTGAGAAATTTAAATAAGACATTTTGTGAATATGTGAATATTAAACTTGATGATTGACTGTATCAAAAGCTTTCTTAAGATCTAAGAAGATTGCTCCAACAATGCCTATATTTCCAAAAGGAAACAATTTGTCTGGCTGTTGTTATATTCATAGGAATGTACAGAAGCATTGTGGTTGTAGTAAAATATCTCAAGCAGCATTAACATTTTGGTTCAGTAAAAATAGTATTTTAATTATGGCGTTCTTTTTGGTTTTTAAATTCATGTTTTTGCAACTCTGACATTGCAGTGCTGGCCAGATTTGAAGTTAACTATTTTCATATCCATCTGCAAAGTCGATGAGTCAATGAATAACATTTTTATTTGGAATTGTGTAAATCTTTTGCTTACAGTCTCTGCTCCCAAAATACATTAAAATGGAAAATATCATTGTCCATATCATGGTAATAATCCTTCTTATAGATACCTAATGTTTATACTGCTCTGTGCATTGTCTATAGGTCATTCCTCAAGCCAGTGTGGGAGAGGTGCATCATGCCATCCGCACGACTTTCCAGAGGGTCAGCGACTTCTTTATTCCTCCAACCAACCTCATCATCACACACGTGAGGTAAAGCAGCAAACCTGCGCACACACACTAACCCCTTCATCGTCCTCCGACCTCATTGCTCGCTCATCACGGCTGTCCATCTGAAGTGAAGGAGAAAAGAGCAAATGAGAATCCTAATGAGAATCTCCATGTTTGATAATCACTGCCCCCAAAAATCTAGAAAGGCTATTAACCTTTCCTCTGACCTTTGTCAATTTAGGTTTGCCTTCGTCTTCCTCAAAAACGAACCTGCGGTACACAAGATCGACCTTGAGACCTTCCATCGCGTCAAGACCATCAGCCTGAAGAACTACAGCTGCATACCGGTCAGCATGGCGTACACACACCTGAGCGGCTTCTACTTCGTCCAGTGCGAGAGCAAGAGCCACCTGAAAGCCCCGCCCCAGCTGCTCATCGACAGCGTGACGGACGCAGTGATTGGTCCAAACCTGAACATCACTGGGCAGGCCTTTGTGTCGCCGGATGGCCGCTACATTGTGACGCCCGACCCTCAGAGCTCCAAGCTGATAGTACAGACAGTGTCGTTCCAGGGGGAGCTGGGTCTGAACCAGGAAGTGGACGAGCCAATAGCTGTGTCCGATTTGGCTTTCCAGCCGTCCTTCACGGAGTCCAACCAGCACGTGGTTGTCGCCACCTCGAGCTCAGGGACGGACCTGCTGTTTGCCGATCTGTCCTCGGGCCACACTGAGGTTCTGCGGAGCCTCAAGGAGCCCCTGGCCCCCCAAGCCTGGCCCTGGGGAGGCCCCAACAGAGTAGTGGTCTCCAGCGGTTTGTTTGGACAGTACCTCGTGACACCGTCAGCCGAGTCCCTCTTTGTCCTGAATGGCAAACAGAGAACGCCTCACTGTGAAGTGTCAGACATCAAGAGAGGAAACACAGTCGTCTGGGTCGGCGAGGTATGAGTAAAAAGGGGGAAAAAAAGAAAGATGAAGATTAGAGACAAACGTAAATGGAAAAAAAGGAAAGATCAGGCCAAATTACCTATTATAAAGATTTATGTGAAGATCAGTTGTGGACTCAACCCTGGGACTGAGCGAGAGGGATACATGCCTGGGTTTATTGTAACAAAACTACACTTAAAATTAGAGTAATTGAGAAAAACATTAAGAAACCCTGTTGTGATATTTCTATTGGGAGAAAGTGTCAATGCCGTTCAGTGCAACAGTGATCTATGTTCACTTAACTATACAGAATTGTACATTATTGCACTTCCTTCCATGTTATCACAGCAAGTAGGTACCTGAAGAGGGGTTATTAACAAACTATGAACTATGCACAATGCTCACTTTTTTTAGAGTAAAAAGCTTTCCGATTTTGTTTATCTCAACAATGTTTGTCGTTATCACCAGTGCTGCATATAATCACCAGAAACTGTCCGTCTGTCCTGTCTGCCTTTAGTGTATGTGTGTTCTGAGTCCTTTTAAAAGCTACCAACCCATCCGTTTATTGGCCTTTGTCATGGTATTGTACTGTATCCTCCCTCTGAAAGCTCTCATTCTTCTCATGCCGGCAGAGGTTGGCTTTATGCACATGTGTAATTCCTTCTATTTACATTGTCTCTCCAAAGAGCCCGATTGGTCCATTAGCCGATGTTTTCGCTCGCAAAGGCAGCCTAACCAGAAATGAACAGTACATATTGCGGTCTCTTGCAATGGTGTAATCTCTCTCCTGCTGTCCCTCACATTTATTCTGTACCTGCAGCACAATTCTGATCTGCAGAGCCTAAAAATGCCACACAGATTTCCTCAGGGTAATGACTCCTCTTTACTCTGACCCCACATGCTGAGGCCGCGCCAAAGTGCCATCAACTCGCTATCGAACGGGCTGTGAGCATTTTTACTTCCTCCCTGAGAGCTGTGCATCAAGATGAATCTCTAAGGCAGGTACTACACTTGCCATGTGGTAGTTATTCCACTTTGTTACACATAGAACATTTTTGTATTACTTTCTGTCTAGTCTGCAAGAAAAACTTTTAAAAGCAACCACATTTGCACAGGAATAACAGACACTAAACTACCGTACTGTTTTAAACATCAACATTGTATCACTAATTTTGAACAACCCTGGTATTATCTGTCTCGAGGCAGGAACCGAATAAACACCAGCAACTATTTGTCCTTCAAAATAGCAGGTATGTTCACTCTGTGGTTGTGTAATTAGCTTTTTCCCATTTGCACTAATAATCGTAATGATGATCCATTAGCAACAAGACAACGCCACTGCAGCTCTGCAGATGTAATAATGATATCAGAAGTGACTGGAATCTCTCAAACATCTCTGCCTCTTGACGGTAGTGACGAGGAACATTAATATGTATCCAGCATTCACACTTAATGTCTCGTTAATTGCAATTTGTTTATATATACTTTAATTTATTTTTAAATGAACTTCCTTAATCAGCATAGACCAGCTATAGGCAACATAGTGTAATCAATTCATTCATAAAAATACATATTTTATATCAAATACAATGTAAACTGTAAAAGTAAAGGACTTTAGAAAAAGTAGCATTAATGCTCAGTCCCTGCATGGAAAGATAGATATCTTCTAAATGATCTCAGCAAGCTCTCTTGTATATTATACAGTATGTGATCACTGTACAAATACTCACAGCCTATAGAAATGTGCAGTTGTTGACCCTTTTTTTGGCAGTTACATACAACTCCACAGAAGGAGTGCTTAAGGAAAAGTGTATCACCATAAGTCCAGCTGGAGTCTTGTGAATGGAGAATATCTGCTAATGTGGTTTGCTTTTCCTCCCCAGGAATAAACAACGGCCCACATCAAATACTAACTATCATCTCCTAATACGTAGTTGTGCCTGTAACTCCCCAATGCGATGCAATGTGTAGGGTAGGGAAAAAAAGAAAACGCAGGAGTGAAGCCGATTAGTCGTTCTTGTTTGTAATTTAGGTATTTGCTGCTAATCAGCCATGAAGTTACTTTCTGGCATGAAAGCCTGTTGATGACTCAATGATAGACCACTGTTGCACTGAGGAGAAAAATATACTATCTTGACATACATTTATGTTTATGAATGGTAATGTGTCAAATTGGTAGCCCAGTTTTCTCACTGTATCAAAAATAAATATATTATTACTGTTTAAAAAAAGGCTCTGATGCTTCGTAAAGTCACTTTCCCATCCAAAGTCACTCCCCTGGTGGCTCTAAATGAGCATCTACCGTATTGGGCGGCTCTGAGACATGCATGTAATAAAAACAGACCTTCAACATGATCATCTCTCAATGATCTCTCGCACTCACTCACGGTTTACTTGTGAAAAAGTCACCTTCCCTCCCTCTCTTCGACACGTCCGTCAGCTTATCTCTTAAGGTCGATTCAGCAGTTTGACACCGCTACTAGAGCCCCGGAGATCAAGAACAAAGAGACTGCAGCACACTCGCTGATATTACTAAATAATTGGCTAGCTCGTGTTGTTTGTTTGGATCTACCTTCAGTGTCACATGAATATTTGCATCCCTCTCCTCGAACCCTCCTGTGAGGGGCTGCTCAGCTGACCCGCTTGGTGTGATAGACATTGATAGGAACCACTGTTGTAGATAACATTTCTCATGTTTAGAACACGTTCAGACATGACGAAACTGACTGTACAGTTTTCTTTATGCATTTTGTGTGTTCTGGTTTATGAGGGAATTGTTTTGTAAGAAAAAATCAAATTAAATATATTGTAAAAATCAGTCAAGTTGATGTGTTTTCTTGAATGTATTGATAGGAATGTATGTTGTTGTTCCCTTGTTTGCAATGTCAAATGACCTTCTTGATTAATAGTAAAGTATTTATATAAATATTTAAGAAAATGCTAATTACAATTTATTTAAAATATTCCTGAAATGCATCAAATCCAGAAACTTGAATCAGTTTTTCACTGTTTAAAAAATGAAAACTAAAACTATTTTTTTTAGTCCGAAAACAATAAGTCTGACAGTAACTTATTAATAATAATTTGTATCATCATCTCACCTTTGATGTGACATCCGTTCCCCATCCCTGCCCACACGGCCATTAATAGTCTTGGTCCAGTGATAGGCGTGCATCGAGCCGGCCTTCACTACGGTGAAAGTTAATGTAATGGTAATGTTATCTATTGTCTTAACGCACACTGACAATCCATGGCCATTCATCCATTACTTGCTCTACTGACAGACGCTGTCAATATCCCCTCAGCCTCAGAGTGAAACAATGAGGTGAAAGGGAGAAGAAAAGACTTCCTGGAGCCAAACATCGGTGAGGTAGGACAATCCGATCACACAGATAATTACCTTCCTGTTCACGCCTGCTTCAATTTCCTGTGAATCCCAACAGAGTGGAGACAGGAACACGCCGGCTTTCATCCACGGCTTACTGACATATCTGTGGACAAACCACAACATAATCACACATCCATCCTCTTCCGAAGGGCTGCAAATAAAAAGGTTTTCAATCTGATATCAACATGAACTGGCAACAATGAGAAGTGATCTCTCAACTGCTTTACTTTATCCATATGACCTTCAATTCTTTATCAATCACTTTATTGTTCAACAAACTAAACTAGGACTTCTTGAAGATAATTATCGACATACTATACTATGACTCTTTTTATATTATTTTCGACATACTATAATATGACTTTTTTCCAAGGGCCAGATGTTGACTCTTCTACCATTTAAACTCTTCTTTTTCGTAAATTTGTTTACCAAAACTGTCATAAAATATCAGTAAATAAACACAAACTCTGAGGATTAGGTTTAGTGGATTAGGTGATAATTGAATGATTCCAACATTAAATGTGATAGCAGCCGTAGCTGGACACGCCACTGTCACTTGTTTGGCACATTAAAAGATTATATTTTAGTGATATTTAGGCAAGTAAACAGTTTTGGTGAAAGCAGGCTTAATGTCTGAATAAAAGTCGGGCAACTAATCTGCTTAGGCTTTAGTTAAATAAATAATAAGACCCAGAGTTGTATACCCAGAGTGGAATTTATTTTGGTATTAGCTGAGAATCAAACCACTCAGACATGCATTTGCAATGCCGCTTGTTTTGTTGCGCTGGGAAAACAGCTGTCTAGAGAAAGTGTTTTTATTTAACAAGACCATATGCAGCTTTTAAAGTGTGTGAAAACCTTCGAAGACAAGAGGAAATCACAACATTGGACTGTAAAAATAATTACTTTAGTTTCAACAGGTGTGTGGAACCTTTTTTGTATCCTTCCTTCATTAAAATGTAAGGAGACCAAGATCTAAAACTTCTTGCGTTGGAACAAATTCAAGGTCATTTAAACAAAATACTGTCCTATATGTATCTTCTTGTAATAAAGGCAAAAAGGCCCAAATAGAAAGAAAATAAAAGTCTTACAAACATGTGTAAATCCTTACTTAAACACAATGGTGCATTTAGCTAAATTATAACGTCAACATGCAATGTTAGTATGCTGATTTGAGGCCAAATCCATCGATAAGATGTTAAGATATTCCACTGGATAAGTAAAAACGTTGGCGTTGCTAGGTAAAAAAAAAAAGGGTCGTCTGAGCTTCATCCATATCTGTACCACATTTCATGGTAATCCATCCAACACTTGTGCAGATACTTCAGTCAGGATGAAAGCAGTGAGCCGACCCAAGAAAAAATTGAGTTGCAGGAGGCGGTGTCCTCAGCATCAAGTGTGATACTGCAGGCTGACTGAGAACACAGCAGCAGAACTCCCTGTTATGTATCATTCACAGCATATACAAAAAAAGACACGGTACAGTAACAAGTAAAAACATGAGGAGCTGACTCACAGTTGGTTTCTCTGCACTGTTGCTATAGTATGATGACACATTTGAAACACTCATAGAGAAACACAAGAGTAATGTTTTCATCATTATGGGCTGCTTCTCACAGTGAGAGCATCAGACATCGAGGAATCTTGCATCAATGCATCCTTTATTGCAGTTTAAAAACTAAACAAACAAAATATGAAAAGACATCTGATTATGTTCATAGTTAGTAGATACAACATTTCTGGGCAGAGACACAATGATAAGAGCAGGTGCCAAGAAGGATTTGTCACATCAGGGTATGAAATATATCCAAAGTCTTACAGGAATATATCATAAAGCAGTCTACAAGTGAGCAAACAGATATTCATATACAGTAAAAAAAAAAATTTAAAAAAAGTTTAACGGGAAAGTCATTTTGGTTGAATCAAATATCTACAAAACCAGTTCTCTATTCTCTATTAGTTCAAATCAGTCAACAATCAAGACTGTAAAACAAGTGATAGTCAGTTCACCTGAACGAAAGCTCAAAACAGCTACAGTTTACTCACGTATAGTTAGTCCTTCTCTCATCCTGTATTTGCAATATTAGATACTATGTATCCTTTACAGCAGGGGTTCCCAACCTTTATTGTGCCAAGGACCCATTAAAGCAGTGGTTCTCAAACTTTTTTCAATAATGTAAAAATTCAGCCACGTACCCCCTGATCAGCGCAAAAACAATTTATTAAGGAAAAAATGCTATAAAGAGGTACAGTACAGCCTTGCACCATCAGTGTCTGATTTATTAAAACAACAACATTGTAACTGAGAAACACTTAAATGCTACATTTAAAATGTTTACAATCCATCACTAAATTCATGGCAAACCAATTTTAACATCATGCAATAACACTGAGACGACATTAGTTGCATTTAACTGATCTTTTTAATAAGTTGTACTTACAATGTAGTGAAACATGGGCTTGTGCTTCACTGAGGATCGTTGTCATTCTGACAGGGAGGCCACTGCAGTTATTACACTTTGCGTTTTGAAATATGTGTAACTCTGTTCATATCAAACCCACACTGCTCAAACTTCGTTACTTTTCCTAAAATTGGTATATTTGTATATTTCTTTATTTTGGGGCTATGGGAATGAAGAGAAAAAAATATATGAGCATTTTATGAGCATGGGATTTTGACCCCTCATATAAACATATGCATAATGCTGCGCTATACTTTGCGGCAGGGTCGGCTCTAGAACAAATCGAATGGGGGGGCAATCATTTACAAAGGGGGGGCACACACTGCCGTCAACAACCAACACACAAACACCAACGCAACTTCAAACAACATGCTGTAAAGTCTATTGTCTTTCACACACATTGCAGAGTGTAGTGCTATTGTATAGCGCACCTATGACCTGTGCATACATGCACGGTTGTGGCACGACCACCAAAACAGAAACATATAAGGACATAGGCCACCATATAAAAAGGGTGCAAATGTATTTAGTATCCTATCCATGTGAACATGTTTTAGGTGGAGGTGGACCTAACCTCCTCTAGGAGGGTCTGGGGGCATGCTCCCCCGGGAAGATTCTTTTTTAAATATTGAAGTTAAATGCATCAATCTGGTGCACTTTGAGAGCAACATTAGGAGATCTATGGATAGCCTACATTTCTCAGCATCCATATGAAACAGAACTGTACACAGATTTACTTTTTCTTTATGGATATTTTACAAATCACTCCCCTTTTAAACTGTATTCTTGTGTTACTGTCCTATAGTATTTCATACCCGTTTTTTATTTATTCTCTTATTCTTTAATAACTATAATGATCATATCAAGGTATTCCTCGCAAATACTTGTTTACATAAATGGTGACCAAACCATCTGAGACCCACTGAGATAACCTACACTAAAGTGAACTATCTAAACACTGAGAGAGTCCTTACCTCACTGAGCTGAGGTTATACGATCCTCTCAGTCTGACAGGAGAGGACTCTCCTCCACCTTGGTGTAGAAACAGCTCTTTATATCCGTTAGCATAGCTAGCTAACCAGATGCTAACATCAACATTCCACGTTACCACTCGCGCACTCACAAAATGCGCTCGTGCCACACACACAGAGCCGAGCTTGAATGAAACACAGAGGCCCAGAAGTAGGCTACTTGTACTGTACTGTATATCGTATGATTTTCGATGGCTTTACTGTATAATCAGTGTAACAGATGAACAGATCGCCACTGGCTTTCATCTAAACACACTGCCACGTAATGATAACAAAACAAAGGTCGGGGGTCATTGGTCAAGCAACACACCAATCAGAGAGCAGCAGTGAGCACACCTCAGGCTGTGTTTTATATTTGTATTCTTTATTTCTGACGTATTTCACACAAAAAACCTTTAGTGGAAACGTTTTCACTTATATGATTTTTTTTTTTTAAACGGCAAAGTGGCAAGGCTTGCCCACCCTGTGTTGGGGGGGCACAGTGACTCATTTGGGGGGGCATGGCCCGCGAATGACCCCCCATGACGCCGACCCTGCTTTGCGGCCACACACCGTTGTCAAGCAACGCTTATTGTTTATGTCCTTTTGAAAAGCAGGCAGTCATATAATTAACTAGAACTAGCTAGATCTGATAGATTTGGACATAGACGCGAGTGAAGTCTAACCGGACGCGAGAGAGAGATCAGAGATCAGAGCAGCTGCTGCTGATGGAGAACACGCAGCTCTGCATGATCACAGCTCCGCCGCTGTGACGGATCGTTGAGCCGAGCAAAATACACTAAGAGTTAGACCTAACACACTTAGCTAGTTTATCTACTCTGGAACTAGCTAAACTAGTTATAAATATATGTATTCTTTACTGTCGGATCACTTATTACAGGTTCAGCGAGCTGCACGAGACTGACGGGCTGTCAGGAGAGGGAGAGGAAAAGAGAAC